ATTTTGCTTGGAAATAAGGGCCAGGGGTATGTGTGGGTGACGGGTATAGGGTATGTGTGAGGCATGGGGAGAATGAAATTGAAATGTGCTTTGTGTGTGTACAGTGTGAGGGGTTCGTCTGGGTGGCACAAATATAAGTGATATAATATGAGACAGCGTGGAAGCATTGAAGATATTTGTGGCATGTGTAGGGGTATGCCAAGTTTGATACTGTGACATCTCTCTCTCTCTCTTTTGACAAATTTTTGCTGTGTAGTTCAGGTTGACCTAGATCTCATGATCCTCCTGCCTCTACCTCTCACATGCTGGAATTACAGGTGTATGTTGGCACACAAAGCACTGCAGTGTATTTCTGACATGTGCTAAATTCTCTGACGTGTGAAAATGTATGTGAGAAGAAAGGCTATGCTGTGACATGTGACTGAGGGTGGTGGTGTCCAGCTGTCACAGGAAAAATGTCACAAACCAACAGACTCTAGCAGCATTTGTGGGGTTTCCTTGACTGTTGCCAGTAAGTTTTCTCTTAATGTTCTTCTCTTTATCTCTGCAGAATCTGAGAAGACACAGTACTTGTACTTGTCAATGCTTTCTATCCCTGGCTTTGTACTGATTTTATTACTTGTTAATTTTGTTTGGAAAAGGTAAGGGTTTCCAAAACAAACAGTTATGCTGTATCTTGCACTTGGGTGCAAGAGGTCATGATCACAGTCACTGGGTGGCACGGGGGACTTCTCAGATTGATGCTGGGATGATGTATGGTGTGTGGTTTTTTTCTGAGGTTATGTGGGGAAAGAATTTTCCCATTTGATCAGCATGTGGTGCTTTCTGATTGTGGGGAGATGCATCATGACACCTCCCTCTGTTTACAAATCTTACTGTGAATTGACTCTGACCTTCTTAGTACAGACCAGTGTTTTGAACTATGTGTGGGCTGCACTGCTCTTACACAGACAGAAACCACACCGGAAAGAGGGGCTTCCTTCCTCTAATTGCTAATGTCTTTGGGTAACTTAACCAGATTCTACTGGTTTAAAAAGAATCTAACCTTCATGTTTCTAAACTAAATGCCTGATTATGGCTGAAACAGCAAATAAAATAGTACAGCCTAGAGGCCCAGGACACCATTGTAAATGTGTTGGTTTAAGTGGCTCTGGATAATAGGGTTGTCCTCAATTACTTACAGGTCTGCCAAAGTGAGATCTGGGCAAGAGCTAATCCTTGTCTTTGCCAATGTGTTAGGAGAAGTGGAGTGATCAGTGATGAAAAGAGCTGTTTATCTCACATTGGCCAACCGGATGGGGGACTTATTCTCCTGGTTGGAGCTAAGCCAATGAGAAAACAGGATATGTTTCTTGGGATAACTTGTGATTGTTGTCATATTTACTGCCTTTCTCTGGCTCTGATATCCAGGTGCTATTGTGACAGATGGACATCAGGCAATGAAACTTACTGAAAAAGGAATCAAAGTCTTCACAATCAGCCTGGATCCAGTGATCTTTTTCAGACCACTTCAATCCTTGGGTTCTCTCTATTGTTGCCATGTAGCTTTAGAATCTCTTCAGAAGTGGGAGGTCTCTTGGCTTTGGGCTCAGTAATGTGACTTGTTCACTTAATAATGGGACAGGAGTGAATGTGTCAGGTCCAAGCCTGGGCTTCACGAGACCTCTTGTGTTTCCCTTTGCTTTCTTTGGTGCTTCTGACATTAGGAATGAGGGCCACATCCAGGATAGCATGTGGAGGATGATAGATGCAGGATGCACAGCCTCATTATCCTCACTGAGATGACAGCCACCCATCTCCATGTGACAAAGCCAGCAGAGCTGATAGAGCCTATCCCCAAATGTTTGAGAAATACTATTTTTATAAGACGCTGTTTTAGGGTAGCTTGTTACATAGCAATCACTAACTGATCAACTCAGGAACTAACCGAGCCTCCATCAAGGGGAGTGAGGTAGGCGAGGAGGTCTGCTGCTAAGGCTCCCTTCCAGAGAGCCCACTGTGAGCACTGGAGTCAGCTGACATGACCCAGAGAGCTGCACCCCAAGGGTCTCCTGCAGGCTTTGAGCCAATTCCTTCTCTCCCTGGATAGCCACAGCCAAGGACAGAGCCAGGTAGGTGTTTCTTTTTGGGGTGCATAGAATTTCTTCAACTTGTACTGAAGTATGAGGCTCTCCCTACTCAACCCTCCTCATTCCTCCTGCCTCTCTCCTCACAATTGGCCTTGACTGTAGGCTACAGGCTTCCCTCTCCTACTGTCCACTTTATATTTCATAGGAATCACCTCTAAAACTCTCTTGTATTGTACGTGCTAAATTTGGCATCTGTTCATTGTACAAAGGGGTTTCAGTGTGATGTCTGCATAGAGGAATCAAAGTCCTGAACTTTGATCAAATTCACCCCTCTATTACTCTTTCTTACCCACTTTCCCAGCTGTGAAACAATGTTAATGGGTTTCATCATTCTATGTTCATACACACATACGAAGACTTTGATCACATTCATCCCCATCATCACCTTTACGTTTTATCCTCCCCTCCTCCTCCTCCTGGTTCTCACCCCACAGCAGTCTCCTTTGACGTTCATGCCATTGTGTGTGTTTATTTTTTTGATGTGGATTCTGCATATGAGAGAGCAGGTGTGATATTTGTCTTTCTCAGTCTGGCTTATTTCTCTGACATGATGATCCCCAGTTGATGCACTTTCCTGTGAACAGTACATTTCATATTTGTACGGCTGGGTGGTACTCTATCGTGTATATACACCACACTTTCTTTCTCCATTTATCAGTTGATGGAGATCTAGCAAGTGCCATAGCTTGGCTATTGGGAATAGTGGTGCTGTCAACACCTTTTACATATGCTAAGGTATTTTTAAAAATATGCGAAAGTTGAAAGTGTTTGACAGAATTAGAAATGAACTTGTCCTGTTTTCTAACATAGCTTGGCTATTTGGCTATTTGATATTTTTCATGGTCTGAAAATTTGAAGGTGGATCCAAACTGATATGTTTTAGAATCTTCAAGAAAAGACATAACAACTACTTTTGTCCCCTGGGAGGTAGAACTCAGAAGTCTAGTAGTTGGAGGCCAGCCAGGGAAAAAGTTGGAGAGACCCCATCTGAACTTTGAAAAGCTGAGCCCGGAGGCATACAGATGTCATCCTAGCTATGCTAGAATTGCAGTCCAGGCAGACCTGGGCATAAACGGCAAAAGCCTACTCGGAAAATAACTAAGGCAAAAAGGACTGGAGGTGTAGCTCAGGTGTTAGAGTGCGTGCCTAAGACGTGCAAGGCCTTGTGTTTAAACCCCAGTACTGCCAAAATTAAAAAAAAAAAGACATAACTACTTTTATACTAACCTTTTAGAACATTTCTATAACCTGTTAACATTTTATTAAATAATCATGCAGTTAGTTTGTACATTTCTAAAAAGTTTAATGTATGTAGTCATATAACTACCACCACAATTAGGGTAGAGAACAGTTATGTCATTCCTTAAAATATGTCATGCATTCTTCTAATTGCACCTTTTCCTCACTTCTAACCCCTGGTAACCAATGATCCGTTCTTTGTCACTATAGTTTTGTATTTTTGAGAATTTCATCTTAATGAAATCATACATAGGCTTGCTACTTTCACTCAGACTCATCAAAATTGTTGCAAGATTTTGGTATGGAGTAAGAGTACATCCTATAAGCATTGACAGAACTTTGGAATTTCTTTCTATAAGATATAAAATCTTCAACATCTAAATCCAAGTCAGGCATGGGAGATCAGTGTTAACACTGGATGGTTTGTCTTTTATATTTGTATTACAATGCTCAAAACGCCAATATAACAGTTAATATCCATCAATATGCTTTTAGAAAAGTAAATCCTGAATAACTAAGTTTTGTTCATATCTTCCCATATTTGTTGAATATTACTTGTTGCATATTAAAAATTCCCTTAAAATCCCAAATTCTTTTTTCTGTATTTCTTGGGTTAAAAGCAAAAAACACAAAACCCTCAAATGTAGCTTATAGTTTCCTCAGGAACAAATACTATCTAAAGCAGTCCTGAAAATCTAATAAAGATCTTTGATACATTTCAAGTTGACTTTTGTATAGAGTGACTCTCATAGTGGCACAGAGAGACTGAAGAATTATAGGAGGAGCTGGGCATGAAACTGCACACTTGTAGTCCCAGCTACTCAGGAGGCAGAGGCAGGAGGATCTTGAGTTTGAGGTCAGCTTGGGCAGAGGTAGCAGGACCCTATCTCAAAAACAGAATAGAAACAAATGGCTGGAGGGGTAATGGCTCAAGTGGTAGAGCACTTTCCTAGCACGCACAAGACCCTGGCTTCAATCTTTTAGTAATGGGGGGCGGGGTGAGGGGAAGAACTGTTTGTAGGGCCATGGTGCATTTGTGGCTTCTTCGAGATGGATAGTGGTAGTGCTTACTCGGAGACAGGCAGCAGACTCCACAGTTCTCAGAGAATGCACAAAACTGATGACTTTTCCAGTGACAGGCAGCGTGCTCAAGAGCACACTGTTTAAGTGTCCCTCTTGAGGCAGAACTATGGAATGATTTTCATTCTACTTCCAAGATGGATGGGACACCAAGGACACTGTAGGACTTGAACAAAAAGCGTCAAAGAGGCCATGGAACCATGTTCTATTTCCTTCTCTCCCTGTTACCCTTGTCTTCTTTCCCCAATAATAATGGCATTAGAGAAAAGGTGGAATTGGTCAAGTGAAATAAAAAGCAAAATGAGGCCAGGCAGAGTGGCTCACACCTGTAAAGCTAGGCACATGAGAAGTGTAGATTGGGAGGATCATGATTTGAGGCCAGCCTGTGGAAAAATATTGTGAGATCCCATCTCAAAGAAAGGTTGGGCACAGTGGTGTATGCCTGTCATCCCAGCTACACAGTGAAGCACAAACAGGAGGATTGCGGTCTAGCCTGGGCCAGGCATAAAGTGAAACCCTATCTCAAAATTAAAGCCAAAAGTACTTGGGAGCATGTCTCAAGTGGTAGAGCACCTGCCTAGCAAGCACAAGGTCCTGAGTTCAGTCACTAGTACCTCCATGATAGGTAGGTATGTGACCAGCAAAAGAGTCAACTTGAGCCTATGGGTTAAAGAATGCTGCTAGGAGAAGCTGACCTGTGCTGTGTACCTCTCAGAGAACTTGATATGATAATGAGGATGTGCACTTGTATCACGTGTTCTGCTCATTAGCATCAGGGCCTGGAGGGAATCAAGATCAAGGGATAGGCCTGGGATCCAGGTTGGCCAGTCTAGCAGCCTGCCCTTCACATTCCTGAAGAGTTGGCCTGTCCAGACAGGAAATAGAATAGTGTGCAGGAAGCCCCCGTTTCCCTTGCGTTAGAGTACACAGTGCCCCAGGTGGACCTGGTCGAGAAACTGATTAAATCTAGACTTCAGTGTAACACAACCCACTTCCCATTCCAGTTCTGACTTTAATCCCACTTATCTTTCTTTCCCAGCTCCCTGCAACGTGGACTAGATCAATAATTCTTCAGACTGGCCCCAGTTTGGGGATAACATGACTCTGATGTGCAGAAGTCCTGTCTACTTTCCCTAAGTCATCTGCATGTCTTCCACAGCATATAGTGTCTAATACCTGGGCCTGGGAGACCTTAAAAGCCTGTTAATCCTGTGACAGAAACTCCTCAGGGAAGTTCCCCCAGGAAAAGATGTCAAGGAGGAGCTCAAGCACAGGGTTGAGCTGGAAGGATGCCACCTATGGGGAGAGAATGGGTCCTGTAGTAGCTGGGCGAGTCATCTTCAGCAGAAGTGGGTCTCACAGTGAGACCCTCTGAAAATGACAAATCTGCAGGTGTCAGGCCTGGACAGGCTTCCAATGTGGACAGTGGAATAGTTTTACCGGATTAGCAAACAGTTCTAGAACAGGAAGACGATGGCCTGACTTCCCTCACCTGTGGAACTCAGGATGGAGACCCAGGATACATCACACTATTGATGTGAGTTGGTGACAGGGGTGGCAGATGTGCTTCCGAAGACCTCATTGTTACTGACAGACTGGGGGCAGAGTAGCCTGGAAGGCCAGGACCCTAGTCCTCCTACAAGAAGAGGATGATGACGGATTACCACGTGCATGGATCAGAGAAAGTGTCATCCATGGGTGTTTTGGACATCATGTAGGCTGTCACTTCACACAGCTGAACCTGCTGCTGCTTTTTAATCTGAGACCTAAGAGGAGTCACACTTTTCTCCTTGATCTTGGGGAGCAAGGAGGGCGTGGTCTAGCTACTCTTCATGCCTGGAACTTTCCAGCTTCTTCCTGATTTAAGCACAAGGCTGGGGATGTCCCTTAGAGGGGGTAGAAATCCTAGCTAGGATGAGCTGTCCTTTCTGGAATCCTGTAGGCATTCTTTGTGACCAGCAGGTGGCGCTGATGCCTCATTTTTGCTGGCTTCAGGCTGCCTCCAGCCACTTAGGGTTGGTGAGTTGTAGAAGGTTATTTTGCCTCCCAGAGCTCATTATTAGTGACTATGGCTCCTCCCTGTGGCTTTAGAGAGAACAAAGCTGAGCCCAAGAGCCAGGCCCCCTAAAGCTCTAGGCAAACTCTGAATCAAACTTTTTAGGCCCTCTGCCTCTAAATCAGAAATAGTTTAGCTCTTCAGAGAAGGGAGTCAATGTCTGAGACAGGGAGTTAGCGGGAAGTGGGTGCAGGGAGGGGGCAGCTTGGAACTCAGACCAGCAGTGTGAACTTCCTGGCCCCTTTATCCCTGCTTCTGGAGCAGTCTGGGACAGACTCTCACTGATGGGCTAAAACCCTGTCTGCAGGCCTCACTGCATCAGTAGCCCTAGCTTGTCATCCTGAATACCATCTACCTATCCAGCCATCATTCATTCATTCAGCACCTACTCAGTGACAGTCACAGTGCTGAGTCAGACACAGTCTTTGATCTCAAGAAGCCACAGATTTAGAGATGGTGTGACAGACACATAAACACAGGCAAAAGATAATGCCCATAGTGCAGAGGAAAGAAGGGACCATCTCTTCCCAGAGAAATCAGTGAAGGCTTCAAGGAGTACTGATGGCCTGGCTTTTATGAATTTCAACAGAGATGAGGCCTGGACAGTTCAGGCAAATAGAATAACATAAGCGACGGCTAGGAGGTGGGAAGCTCAATATTGCTCAGGGGGCTGGGGAGGCAGCCAGGAAGTGAGTGCAGGTGCAGGTGGTCCTGGCAAGAGAACTGTCAGGCTGAAAAGGCAGTAAAGGCTTGAAATGGCTGGCTAAGAAGTCTAGCCTTGACCCAGAAGGTGATGGGGAACTACTGAAGGTATTTCATGTGGAAAAGAATGATCACAATCCTTCTAAGCCCACTCTGGTGGCCACGAGGCAGGTGGACTGCAGGGGGTGAAGTGGTGACAAGAACAGTAGGTAATAGGCGTTGCCATGGCCTCTGTAGTCCCAGTCTGAGCTGGGAGGAGCACCATGTAGACAATAAGACCAAGTAGAGAAACACATCACTGAGGGGAAAAGTAAAAGCACTTTCTCTTAATGTTTGCTTGGTTGGTTTTCTCACCACATGACTGATTCAGCAGCAATCATAACAGCTAACATTTATTAAGCGCTTATTATAGACCAAGCACTTTAGCATTTTACATGTGTGTTCATTTGCTCCGGCAACAAGTCTGTGAGACAGGGACTATTAGCACTGATGAGACAATTGAGACACAAAGAGGTTAAGTTACTTGACCACAGTCATACAGCTATAGCCAGGATTTGAACCTAAGGCAGTTGGCCAGCGAGCTCACCCATCAATCATGACCTTCATGTCTATGATGTCCTTGTCCCTCTTCCTGGGTACCTCAGCCTTCTAGTAGATCCCTAGGAAAGAGGCAGGGCCCAGGGCTCTGAAGCCTGGTGGAGGCCCAAAGGCTGAGATGGCCAGACAGGCTTGTAGTGTAGAGCCACCTAGGCAGAGGAGAAAGGTCCCCCTGAGGTAGGAGAAAGAGAAGCCAGCTCCAGGCCTCTTTCCTGGCCTCCCTGCTAGGGCATGTGAGGTGGCAGCTGCTGACCCTATCCTCCCGTTCCTCCAGCACATTGACTGTTTTCCCAGCAAGAACAGTCCAGATTTCAAGTCATGGAAGGGAGGCTTTATTGACAATGGGGAAGCAGAATTCTGGGCAAGGACACACAGAACTGCTCCAAGTGTCCAGGCTCAGGTTAAGCCCAGGACCTCTTCACCTCATGGACCTCACTCACCCCCACCATCCTGAACTTTCCAACACCTTTTCCAGCAACAGAAAGATACCCAGCCTCACCCCACCCTCTGGACAAAGTGAGTCACAGCTGTCTGGGTGTCAGGGGCAGACTTTGCCTTAGGCTCATCATGTGAGGTGGGCCCAAGACCCTTCCCTTCAGTCTCTCTGCTTGGCATGTCAATGTTTGCCCAGTCCACCCCAGCCTCTCAGGTTGGGGACAGAAAGGGAGCAGCAGCCCTGGACTATGGAGTCCTGTCTACAGAAGACTGGTATTGAGGTGAAGGGCAGGGGTGCCTGAGCAGGGAATCAGTGAAGCCTCTTCGTGACCCCATCCCCCTCTGTGGCTTGAGCCTGTCCCGTAGAGGGGAGCCCTGGCAGTCTCGTCCTGTCCCTGCCTGTGGAGGCCCCACAACTCCAGTTCTACAGCTGGAAGGTGCTCTCTCACTGACTGCCCTCCCTGGTCAGCCCAGTCTACTCCTTAGTCTGTTATTTTTTTCAGGAACAGGTATTTCTTGGGGCCACAGAAACAGAGCAACAGACCCTCAACCTGGGGATTGTCTCTCCCCAGCCACCTGCCTGCTTGTGGCAGGCCAGTCATAGGGACCAGAATGGACTGGATGGAGAGCCAGTTTTAGGGCCCAGCACCTTCCACAGCCTCACCAGCCTTGGGCAGGGAGAGAGGGGTAAGCCAGTCCTGAGCTGGGCTGGGAGGAGCAGGGACAAAAATAACCCAGTACAGACTCCTGCTGAGGCCAGAAATAGCGTAGTGACAAGTACCTTGTAACACCCTGGGCACGTAGCGGCAGGGAGGCTGAGCAGAGGAGGGTCCAGCATCACACCAGGTCCTCACTTGGCTAAGGGACCCATACCACGTCCACTCTACGTACCACACCACACTGCCTTTGTGCACACATGCATGTGTGGAGGCCCAAGGGACCATGACTCAGGACAGTGAATCCGGAGAGATGCTAAACTTCGGCTTGGCCTTAGCCACCGCCACACTGCGCTTGCGCAGGGGCCCACGGGCTGAGGCGAGGGTCAGGGCGTCCAGTAGGCTGCGGTCCTCATCAAGTTGGCGGGCTGTGCACAGTGGCGTGGGCACTTTAACAGTGTTGCCAAATTTGGAGTAGTCCACCGAATAGCGGCCGTCCTCCTCCGCCACAATGGGGACAAAGCGCTGGCCCCATAGGATTTCGTCTGCTAGGTAGGAGGTGCGGGCCTGGGTGGTGATGCCTGTGGTTTCTACCACACCTTCCAGGATGACGATGATCTCAAGGTCCTGGTGGTGGTGTAGGTCGCTAGGTGCCAGGTCATAGAGAGGGCTGTTGGAGTCAATGACGTGGTAAATGATGAGTGGAGCGACCAGGAAGATGCTGTTCCCACCCACACCGTTCTCCATGGGGATGTCCACCTGGTGGAGGGGCACCACCTCGCCCTCGGGGCTGGTGGTCTTACGCACCACCTGCATGTGGATGGTGGCACTTATGATCATGCTCTTGCGGAGGTCACCCACGCGCAGCATGAAGCAGAGGCGGCCATGGCGCAGGCTGATAACCGCATGCTTGCTGAAGATGAGGGTCTCGGCCCGCCGGTGCGCCTGGGCAGTCTTCATGAAGATGCAGCCCAGCATGATGGCGTTGATCATGAGCCCCACGATGTTCTGGACAATGAGGATCAGGATGGCTAGGGGGCACTCCTCCGTCACCATGCGCCCGCCAAAACCAATGGTTACCTGGACCTCGATGGAGAAAAGGAACGCGGATGAAAAGGAGTGGATGCTGGTGATGCAGGGGACAGTGGTGCCTTCACCGGGAGCCAGGTCACCGTGGGCGAAGGCGATGAGCCACCAGACCATGGCGAAGAGCAGCCAGCTGCACAGGAAGGACATGGTGAAGATGAGCAGCGTGTGCGGCCACTTAAGGTCCACCAGAGTGGTGAACACGTCCTGCAGGAAGCGGCCTTGCTCCCGGATGTTCTTGTGGGCCACGTTGCAGTTGCCTTTCTTGGACACAAAGCGGGCCCTCCGCTCCCGGGCTCGGTACCTGGGCTCCGCAGGATCCTCTGCTAGCCGTGTCAGCACATACTCCTCAGGGATGATGCCTTTGCGGGACAGCATGGCTCTGGTAACCCCAGGGAGGGGCTTCCCCCATGAGGGGCACTGCCTTGACCTGGCTTAAGGTCTCACTGTGGGGTACCCTCCCAGGGCAACCTCTCAACCTTGGGGCCACCTCAGCCTGCGCTGGCCTCACTCCTGAGATGCCCCTGCCACAGCTTTCTCAGCTCCACCTGGATCTTGCTTCACTTTACCCCAGCCTCACACTTCAGCCCACCTAGTGAGCACCCCAACCCCGCCTGCTCTCCACTTTCCTGCCCAGCCCTCCTTCACCTGCTGACTATCCCTGGGCCTCAGCCTAAGCCCCAGTCTCCCCTCCCAACCTCCCTTCTCAAGCCCCCTCAGTACTTAACACCTCCAGATCTTACCGACTAAGCAGACCTCATACACCGCCCCCTACTATTCTCCCGCCTCCCCCATTTCTGTCCCCTATTCCTTCCAAGCTCCAGCTTCGTGTCCTGACCACCCCCAGTCTCTCCTCCAGGTGTGCCCTATTTCCTACCCTACCCCTCCCCTAGCGCCCCCGCCGCTCTCCGGATCCTTTTCCAGCTCTCGTCCTCTCTGTCTCCTTGGGATCCTGCGCCCTCCAAGTCACCATCCAACCTGACTCCTCTCCAGATCCCCTCGCACCCCGCCGACCAGGTGGGGCTCGCTCCGAGTCGTGGCCTCCCGGGCTGCCCCGCCACACGCCCGCCGGCGCCGCGGCCCCCGCCCGCCGCTCGTCCCTGCCCCGCCCACTCGTCGCCGCCGCACCTGCTCCTGCTCCTCAAGCCGCAGCCGTCGCCTCCCCGCCCCCTCCCGCCGCCCGGGTGCTCGCTGCTGAACGGCTTCCCGTCTGTCGGTCCGTCTGGGGTCGGTGGATACCGACCTGGGTCAGGTAGGGGTAGCAGATGAGGGCGGGGGGCGCCCGAGGAGCGGAGACCCGGCCTCGCGCCGCCAGGGGGAGCCCGACCTGTTCTTGAGTGCGAGAGGGGGCGGGCACAGGCGCAAGCCCCGCCCCTCGCGGCCCCCCCATTCCCCCACCCCGCCTTCTTTCTCCAGGCTCAGTCTGCCCAATCCCCGTGGACCGAAAGAGGTCCCTTGTGCCCACACTATGAAATTGGGGCGCAGGAAAAGAGCCGTGACCCATCCTCTATTCTGTCGCTCTGGCTTCCCATCCTCATTTGGGTCCTAGCTGCCTCCTACACAGCGCTCGGTTCCCTGGGAAAGGAGTCACTGAGAGGTGGCACCAATAATCCTCCCTCTGGGTAAGATCAGGTGGCCCCAGGACTTCTCAACCCACTGTTTCTTCCCTTTGGGGAATACTATTAATCTTTTCTTAGACTGGGATCCTTTTGAGAATCTGATGAAAGCTCAGAATCTCTATTAAAAAAAAAGTACTGTGATAGGTGTGGGAGCAGTTTTAACACCTACTACCTAGGATCTAGATGCTGCAGCCCAGAAACCCACGCCCTGCTCTAGGCTCCATTTTCTCCGTCGTGTTAGGGCCAAGGCATTTTAGAGTGAATTTAGGCTACTGGCACTTGCTTTAAGCCCCTCACACCTGTAGCCCGTTTCTCCCACCTTAGGGGAGCCTGAGTGGCTGTTTTAGGGCTAGCTGGACACTGGATTGCTCTGTGGGTTTTGGGACACTAATGGCCATTTGTTAGAGTGGGGGCTTGAGGCAGGGGCTGTGATGATAGGGGAAGTGGGGATTTGAGCCACAGTTGGGCACTTTGATATTTTTTCTTTCTCTTTCTTTTCTTTTTTTCTCCCCAGCAGTACTGGAGGTTAAACTCAGAGCCACACCCTACCACTTAAGCCATGCCTCCAGCTTTGTGTGTGTGTGTGTGTGTGTGTGTGTGTGTGTGTTGAGTATTTTTGAGACAGCAGCTTTTTGTCCAGGCTGGCCTTGAACTGTGATCCTCCTGATCTCTGCTTCCAGGGTAGCTAGGATTACAGGCATCAGCCATTGGTGCCCAGATGAACTTTTATATTGAGTTTTCCTTTCTCTCCCATACTCACTGTAGTCTGGGTGAACCCTGCTATAAAGAATGTGACCTTGGGCTTTATTAACAGAGAAGGGGAAAGCTCAATGAGCACAATAGGAAGATCAAGGAGAGTGTTACATGGGAAACCTCTGAAGCAACTGCATCTTTTTAGCCACCAGAAAAGGAACCTTGGAGCTGGGTGTGCTAGCACATGCCTGTAATCTCAGCTACTCAGGAGGCAGAGGCAGAAGGATTTCAAGTTCAATGCCAGCCTCTAAAAAGTTAGAGAGACCCCTATCTCAGAAACAAAATACAAGAGGGCTGGTGGTTTGGCTCAGAGGGTTGATTCCTATCATGCATGGGGCCCTGGGTTCAATCCTCAGTACTGGAAAAAAAAAAAAAAAGAGGAATCTTGGCGAGCCCAGGAGGGAGAGACACCTCCCCAGAAGTCCCTGGTGTTGAAGGAGGATGGACAAGTAGTTTTGTCTGGTCCAAAGGGTAGAACTGAGAAACCAAGTGGAACACAGGAGGCTTCAACGTGACAGATTTAAGAGTCAGTTCTAGTAAGAGTCACCAGAGATGGCCCATGTCTGTGGGGAGTGCAATACAAAGCTGTTTTACCACCAGGGGTGTCTTGGAGGGGTTGGGCTGGGATGACCTTGGGCATCCTCACAAGACTCCCCCTTCCTGCTACTTCCTTCAATCACCTAGGCTATGGTGGGCTTGAGGGGTGTGGGGTCCTCTTCCCCTTCCTCAACTCTGCTCCTGGAGGCCCACTATGGAGGGAGCTGCTAGAGTCCCAGAGGCATCTCAGAGCTGGAAAGTCAAGTCTCTGCCCCCAATATGGCTCTAGGGCTTAGCTAGCCTCTGCTCTACCCTGACAGGAGTTATGTCTCCTATACACAGGGCTCAGCCTCCTATTCTGCTCCATTCCATGCTGCCTCATACTCATTTTCCCCAAACACTGCACTTGTTAGGTTTCTGTCTTGCAAAAAACCTTTTCCACTTTTCCTTTGGCCATAGGCATTTGAGGCCAAATGCTTTGTCCTGGCATTTGAGGCTCTCTGCCCTCCTGCTGCTCTGACCACTGCACTTCTAATACACTTCATCATAATTCCTTAGTTCCTGCTGCCTGCCCCCTGCCCTTCTCTTTTACCCTCTGCCTGTCCTATTTCTACCCACCCACGCCCAACTCAAATTCTGCCTTTCCCAGGCAGACTGCCAGGCCTTGCAAGCTCTGCCTTTCTGAGCAACTCTGGCTCCCAGCACTTTCAGAAGGGATCATGCTGGGCTCCCTTCAGTGGCTGGTGGGTTTTCCTCTCCTGCAGCCAAGAGGGCTGCTGCCCTAAGACTCCTAGATCTGTACCCCAGGGCCAGTAAGCCAATACTGCAGGCAGTATGCAAATGATCTAAAGTAATATACAAATGAGCACTTGCCATTTCTTGGCTGAGTGTAGGTGTGCACTCCTATTGCCTGATACAGATGGAGTCAGGACAAGCTATTGTTTGGTCTGCTGGTGTCTGGACCCTGGCATCTTCCAGTTACCACTTGGCTGGCTTGTGGTACAAGCACTGTTCAAGGACCACCCTTCTCCCACTTCTGAATGTCCCTGCTTGGGAAACAGAGATGGGAACAGGGGATCCAGGCTAGTTACTGTATTCCAGCCCTCCAACCAGTGACTGGGTTTGGGGTGGGTGGGAATATGACCAAAGTTGATCCACTGAGATTTGTTTCCAAGACTTTTGCTGGAACTATTGAGAAAGAGAATTTCCTTTAATTCTTGGCTTCCCTGGAGCAAGATGTAAACTGAGCTGCCAGTCACCATCTGTCATCAACAGGGGAGAGGAAAATGGAACCCAGAAATGGAGACATATCCTTGGAGCTACCTATGTTGAATATCTCCTGGTCTTTTCAGTTACATACTGTAATAAATTCAAGTTTTGCTTTAAGCCACTTTGAGTTGGGAGTTCTGTCATTTGCAATTGGAAACAGTGCTGATCCAGGGTATAAGACCCCACAATTTTAATCCAAGAATGAAAGTGAGAAGGAGACCAAACTAGATAGAGATCTGTTATCTTATCTGATGGGGTCACTGCAGATACACTATTACCCTTGCTGTGGACTGAATTGTCTCCCCCAAATTCATAGGTTGAAACCCTAGCACCCAGTGTAGCCATATTTGGAGCTAGGGCCTAAGTAGGTAATTAAGATTCTACGAAGTCAGGGGAGTGGCCCTATACCAATATGACTGGTGTTCTTATAAGGAATGAGAAACAGGACAGAGAGAGAGGAAAGAAGTGGAGGGGGGCGGAGGACAGGAGAGCTAAAAGACCGGATGCATATAGACAGAAGAAAGGCTACATGAGGACACAGCAAGAAGATGGCTACAAGCCATGAAGAGAAGCCTCAGGAGAAACCAAAGCTGCCAACACCTTGATCTTGAACTTCAGCCCCCAGAAATGTGTGAAATAGATTTCTGTTAAAGCCACCCAGTCTATGGCACTTTGTTTGGGCAGTCCCAGAAGACCAACACAGCTCTCACTTCACAGACCAGAAACGTGCTTTTGCCCCTGCTCACACAGCATCTTCACATCTGCACAGAGTCAGAGACAGACTGGCTCCTGGCATCTGCAGTGTAGCACAGCCCCTGCCCGCCAGAGTCAGGGCCTCCAGTAGGAAATAATCAATCTCTTTATTTACAAGTGATTTACAGTTAGAAAACCCAGGCAAGGCTGGGGAAAGGGTGAGGGTATAGGATGGCACTTTGGCTCTGGTTAGGTCACTTGTCTGCACGGACAAAGGAGGCGAAGATGCTGTCCTTTTGGCTGAGCAGCTTCTCTGGTTTGTCGAATTCCAGGATGGTGCCACGCTTCAGGACAATCACCAGGTCTGCACTCAGGATGGTGTGCACACGATGCTGGGCAGGCAGGGGTAGGTCAGGGGGGTAGGTGTGGAAGGGGCCAGGCAGCTGAGGGCTCCCTCCTGTAGCTTAGAGGAGGAGGTACGTGCCCTATTGCTGTAGTGTTGTCAACCTTGAGGGAAAGGCTCTAATCCAAGCCCCAACTAACACCACCCTTCTCCCTCTCACCAAGTTTCAGCTCTTCTCCTATCTCCAGGCTTTAAGATGCAGAGACCCCCCTCCCCCCCATAAAAAAACCTCCCACCCCCTACTTCCTATGGAGAAGCCTAGCTCACAGGCCTTGGGACGGGGTAGGCCTTGGAACCTGGAGAAAGAGAGGGCAGTTCTGAAGGAAGTGTAGATGCAGCTCCCACAATGCCCCAAATCCTGCCTTGGCTCCCTGCCAGCCCTCCAGACTCCTTGTCCTGAACTGCTCCAGGGTCCTTTCTTAATTAGAAGAACTGGCCGAGCCTATAGGCTGCCCACCAGTGACAGCCCCAGGAGGCCAGCCTTCTCTCTGGGAGACCCCATACCCCATCAGTGGGCCCCTTACCGCGATGGTGACCACAGTGCGGTCTGCAAAGGCTGTCATCACCACCTTCTGGAGAATGTTTTCCTGTCAGGTGGAGGCAGCAGCTGTTGGCTCATCTGCCCATCCAGGGACCCATCCGAGCCCAATCCTAGCTCCATGTCCTCCTTCTATCTGGTTCTAGTCCCTGTAGGACTGAGCAGCTTCCCAGCTGGACTCAGCCTGCTGAGAGCTCTGCGCATGCACACTAAACTGTGAGTGTCTGTGGGTGGGTGGTGGTGGTGGTGTGGGCATGTGGGTGTGAACATTTTCTAAGACTAGATGGAGTAAGAGTCCCTCCACCCCTTGCCATTTCTGCTACATGTGACCCTTGATGTTAAGAGCAACTTGAGCCTCAGGACTGTGAGCAAACTGTTCCTTAACCCCCCATGAAGACCCCCTCCCACAGTCTCCACTACAAGGATACACCCAGGACTAACCGTGGCCATGTCGATGGAAGCAGTGGCTTCATCCATGATGAAGATGCTGGTCTTCCTGACGAAGGCCCG